TACGGCTTGTGCTTTGGACAGCTTTACGGTGTTCATTCCGTTCTCCTGTACGAACGTTCTGTTTATGCAGCTTCCGGTGCATCCGCTGTCCACTAGAGCATCAACTGCTCGTACTTGCCCCGTGTCTAGGGTTTCAAGCTGTACGCGGATGTTAACGCTCCTTCCTCTTCCTCCTCGTATGTATTGGGGGGGGGCGCGCAAATCTTCCATGTTCTGTAAGCATTGTTCCCGTTGATGGTAGCTTTCTTTGGAGGAACCGATGAGGTCTAGGACGAGGTCCTCATCTACTTCGATCAATCGCCTGGGGTGTACCCACATGTGAAGGGTGGCTAGCCTCCCGTCCATGGTCTTTTCTTGTCTCATTTTCCTTCTTACCCATTCCGCGCTGTGGGGTTTGAGCCACCCCTTGTCCCACTTGTCGTCGTAGTACTCTTCTTCCAATTCCGTTACTTCATAATCTTCTGGGTACTCCTCGGCGTGGATCGCCGGGTCTTCCCCTTTTGTCTTTAGGCTTTGTTGGTAACTGTAGTCGTCTTCCTCATCGGGTACTTCTTCGATAGAAACATTCTTTTTATTGCAAGTAGGAGAGTCACATAATGGTCCCACCGACCCGCCCACCGGGGAACACGAGCCCCCGGTGCCATTATGTGTTAGTGATGTCGAAGGGAGACGCACCGTGATAGGGGGAGGATAAATGATGTCCCCGGTCGTCTGGACTGTTGTTTGCGGGGCAGCGGATTTCTTGATAGGGATTCGCGTTCCCTCTTGCGGCTCCGTCGTGTCGGGGTAGTTGGCCGCATAGGGCAGGTGCGTACGTTCCGCCTTCGGGCGAGGCCCTGCATCGTTCCTCTCCCGCCTGGAGGCGCCTTCGCCCACTACTGGCTCGGCCGCTCTTCCTCCGTTTTCTGCGCCGGTACCTACCCTCCACGGAGCGATGTTGACCTTGATCCCGTGTGTCCCGCCGCCTTGCGCAGCATACGCCGCTTGTGCTTTTGCACCGGTGGCCGAGGATCTTGAGTGGGGTTCTTCTTCTAGCACGGTGGAAATCCCCTGTACACCGTCCTTCTTTATATGCGACTTGACAATTTCATTTTGTGATAGCGTGAAAGTTTTCTCATTGCCTCGAGGTACTACATGCGGTACATTAGTCCGACCAGCGGGATTCTGTGACGTACCACTAAATGAAATTGTGTCCTTAGCCAACGCGCGTTTGTCGCTTACGCCGCCGGCTCGTCTTTTACCTCCTCGATTTTCGATGTGGAGGCTTCCCCTTCTTCGTCCTTCAATACTTGTTGATACATTGCGCGGATTTGGGCTCGGGAGAACTTGGGCTGATGCTTGACGAGCCAGGTACTTTCGTCTTTGGGGCACTTGTTGTCCTGCTTCCGATGACCCTTGTGACCGCAGCGGAAGCATCGTCCTTCTTTCCACAGTCGGTCTATTTCCATGGGTTGTCCTTGGCCCCCGTACGTGGTTCCCGTTCCCGTCTTTTTATCACCCTGGGAATTCCCGGAGCTCCCGGCTTTTCCCGTTCCCTTGTTCTGTTGGCCCTGCATTCCCTGGCTTCTTCCTGCGTCCTCCGCTAGCCCTACACGGTAGTTGTAGTCCATTTGTTCTACTCGGAACTTCCATTCGGCATACGTGCGAGGTAGCGCGGTGCCTGTGGCATGTATGGCTGTTTTTACGTTTTTGCGGATTGCTGGTTTGAGTATTTCGATCATGTACTCTTCGTTGTGACGCTTTCCGGACTCTTTCGCTAGTCGTTCAAAGTCACGGAAGAATTCCTTTGCCGATTTGTACGTGTTTTGGCGGATGCGTTTGAACTCCTGTAATTTGAGTTCCACTTCCGCATCGGTTCGGAATTGATCTTCGATTATCTGCCTGAATACATGCCATGCGGGATATCGCAGGTATCCGCATGTTTTGTCATAGTACTCGTCCCTGGCGTGATTCCACCAATGCAAGGCTTTGTCTGTGAGCCGGAATGTGCAGAACACCACCCTATTTGGGCTTTGTCCATGTGCGTTCATTGTGAATTGCTGGGGAAATACATTGAAGTAATCCTCGCACTGGTTGAGGAATCTGTCCACGTCGCTGGACTCCCCTTTGAACTTTTCCGGGGGATCCGCAAGTTGCGGCTTCACTTGTGCCCACGGATTGGTGTTGGCTACCCCTACTATGAACGGTGGTGGCGTATTGGGTGGTTGTACAGGGTCTGCGGGAATAGGGATTGCCGCGGGTCTCGGTAGCGATCATAATGCGGGGTTGTGATGAGGGGACGGAGGGCCTTGTGGTGCCGGGGCTGGGACTGCGGGTTGGACTGGTGCTGCGGCTGCGGTGCCTGCACTTCCTGGGGTCCCTGCAGCCGCAAACAGCCGGCTAGGGTCAACATACCCTGTTCTCTGAAGAATTGATAGGTGGTTTAAATCCACCGTGCTTCCACTTGTTTCCGATGGAATGGGTACTTGGTACCGTTCTCCGGGGTCCGTGTAATCGTCCGGGTGTACTTGGTTCCATAGCATGTTGGTGTGGAAGATCGTTTCTCGATAAAGCACCTGGGCTCCGGTCTGCGAGTTCTTTTCCTTTTGGAAGTACCTTCCCTGTGGCGAGCTGTTCCACGACAATTCTCGCTGTAGCTTTTCCTCCGTCCATCGCAACATTTCTAAATAAGTCATATTTTCTAGCTCGGCCTCAGTAGGCTCTCGAGCTAGATCCTTCCACGAATTCGGGGATAATATCCTCCTCTCCGTATTCTCCGACCCTATGCTGCTGTTGTAGGTCGAAGTCCGCCCTATTCCAGGGTTCTCGTAAATTTCTCCTTCTTCTAAGTCCGATAGGTCGGACTCGCTCGAAAGGCTCCGTGCTTCCCGTGATGACACGGTTCCAGTTTCTAATGATTCTTGCCCACTCGTTGACCCTGAGAACGACCTGATCGAAGTCGGGTCTTCGAGGTCGGTCCCATACCCATGGTGCGAGGAAAGGGATGGGGGCTGCGTAGGGGTGTTCTGGTGCGAGTGGATAAATGACGAAGGGGACGACTGAGGCGGGGGGCTCGATTCCTTCGTACATGAGCCACGCGTCGGCGTAGTCCTGTACTTGTCGGCATATATCGCAGCTGGCGTCTGCGTCGTAGGTGGGACCACACTGGTCGAGCTCGGTAGTGGCTTCTCCTTCCCTATCGTTGATGATGATTGGGGTGTTGGGACGCGTGACGAGCTGTAGGTAGCTTCCTTCGTCGTCAGAGGAGTCGCTGCGGGCGTAGTAGTAGCCCCATGTTTCTCCTCATGAGTCAAGGCGGGGAGGGGACCAGTTGTTGCGTGGGCCTGGGAGCTCATCGCTGTCGTGGTCTTCCTCTGTATCGCTGCCTTCCTCATCTGAACTGCTTCCAGTTCCATCTTCAGCCTCTCTTCTTTCTCCCAGATGGTGTCTAAGCCCTCTTTGATAGAGGCGCTGTCTGTCGGAATCATATCCAGGGTTGGCGGCTGAGTTTTCGGTTGAGGTGGGGGAGGGGGCGTCCCAGGGATCACTTCCCTCGCTTTCCCCTTCGCTTTCTTCTTCGGTAATGGGAGAGAGAACACGCTGGTCCACCCCTTGCTCGTAGACTCCTCACTCTTCTTCTTCTTCAAGGACTGGGCCTCTTTGTGCGGGCCATCCTTCCATCGTGGGTTGGGGCTCGTTGGACTCCTCTGAGTCGGAGTCTTCTGAGATCCACTCATCTCTGTCGATAAAGACAATGTGGACGAATGGGGCGGGTCGGGTGTCGACGTAGTCGGGAGGGGGTGTGTTCGATCGTCTAGCCTCCGGGTTGGGGGCTTCGACGGGGATAGTTTCTTCGGAGACTGGCTCCTCGTTTCGTCTGTGCTCGTATCCATATAGGAATGCGAGGTAGGCTATGGCAATAAAGCCTTGTAGTCCAAAAAGGTCAGTGAGATACTGTTCGATGGGGTTCATTCGTTACTGTTCGTCAACGTGGTTGTTGATGAAGAGTAGGAAAGTCTCGAACTAATTGTTAGCGACCGATACAACAAACAAGATCAAACAACTAAGCGTGACTCGCACTTCGGTCAGGCGCTTTATGTTGTCCGCAGGTTTGCGTTAAGGGAGCTATCGCTTAGTTGAGCGAGAGTGAGTTCAGACTAAGTTATCGGGTGAATAAACTTTAGTTCGAGACTGAGGTTTAAGACCTGCAGTCGAGCTACTTAAATACAGTTTGGGTCGTGCTAAATATACTACAAGTGTCTGCAACGGTGTGTTAAACACACGAGACCCGCATGGTGAATGCGATCAAGTCCAGAAAACTAGCATAGCAGGATTACGATGAAGGCGATAAGATAAGATAAAGCATGAAATCGTAATACAAAGAGGTGATGGTTGACGAAGCGGTCGTGGTGGTAGGTGTAGCGTGTAAAAGTGAGCGGATGAATATGAGGTATTGAATGGATGAGGTCGACATGGTCAAGGCAGGGAGCGAGTGGATGGATGTAGTGGGCTCGACAAAGGAGGAACGCGTTGGTACAATGCAGCTCGGAGCTGGCCGAGGTTGGAACGGAACAAAGGGAATCGACCGATATGGTGGGGGGGAAGTGACATGGTGAGTGTCTTGATATATAATCTGGACGTAAAAAATGTATTTATATGGTCATTCAAACATGAAGTTCAGGACAGCTAGCAAGAGGACAGACGGGCTCAACACGGTGGTTGAACAAGATTTAGATTGGCATCCAAGTCGGATTCATGATCGAAACGGGATGATCGGCCCGTATGCCGCGTCGCGTGGATGATCGAACTTCCCGGTGGTTGCTTCCCCACCCTACATCCACTACAAAGACTTGCTTTATGTCCTGATACAATAATGGCCATGGTATCCTCTGATAAGTACTCAACAAAGCAGTGGATGATCCCAATGTGCTCATTGTTAAGGCGGTTGCTTGTTTTTAAGGTGAGTGACGACCAGACATTCGCCCAGTCACTGCCCATACCCTCTCTCCCTCACAGCCGCCATGCTCCGACACCTTCCGCTCATAACTCGTCGGATAGAATTCACACCTCTTGCACGTACTCCTCTCCCTTCGATAACCGCACGCCGGGAATTTGCTATCGCTCGGGAGCACAGTTCGTCACCTCCTCCTGTCGACCCTGGCTTGCCACTGTCGGACGTCTCGGACGCTAGCGACGTCTCGATGCAATCAGACGATGATAACCTTTCAGGAAACATACTAGAGGAGGACAGCATTGATGATGAAGATGTCAAGATTATACCGAAACCTCCTGGAGAACCTGGCCGCCCGAAATCCGGCGGCTACAACCTCGAACAGACCCTCTCTTGGCCAGATGCCATTTATCAACAAGTTGTCGTATGTCTCTCCTGCTGAGGCTTCTCTCCCGGGCTTACCTATCTCTTCCAGAATCACGTCCATCGTGAAGCTCATCATAGACTTGAAACCAAGAAGAGCTTCAAGAACCAAAGCGTCAAACAAATCCAGGCTATTTGTGATGATGTGAGTCTTCACTGGTTGTCGTTAACTGCCGACCGCTCACTTGACCTTAATGTCGTAGGCTGTGAACGAACATAGCATCCTTCGAGTCTATGAGAATGCATGGCCTGTCCGTGATATGCCGAAGCTCCGGTTGAAGTACACGTCTGAGAAAGTGCGTCGCCAGAGAGGCAGGAAGATGCAGCAAAATTTAGCTCGGGTACATAACTCTTCTTTATACATCTGACAACGACTTGCTGATTGTACATCTCTTTTGTTTAGATCGTACGTGATGGTTCCCCAGGTATCGATTTATGACCGTATATCTGCTTGACGATCTGAAAGTGCACCATTCTGTAGCCTTATTCTTATGTCAAACTGTAGCTTATAATAATTCATCTACACCTAGTTACTCCAGTGCGTAATAAATATCATCCACAGATGTAAAATTTCACAACCATAATTCTGGCTAACGACGGGCATAAGGACTAAATGTTACTTTCCTTCATTCCATGGTGTCGCTTTCATGTTGTAAATAAAGCACCTACGCACCATGTTAGCACACTATGAGGTGTACAGAAGAATTCCTGTTAGAATATGAGTACACAAAATATTCTCAATGCTAGAAGCGACGTTACCTGCTGGCGCTGTGGGTTCAATTTCGGCTTTAATAGGAGTTAAGGAATTTTGCCGATGAAGCAGAATTTGATCTCGGATGATCGTGCTGAAGGGCAGCTTGGTCAGCAGCACAGCAGACGCTGCAGCGGGTTGACTGTAATCATGATGGACTGTATACCTTCCAGGCGTCCAGCATGTTGCGACAATCGCCAGTATGTATGCTCAGTGCTTCATTCAAATCTCCGTATACTGGAACTCTTGGGAAACTTATCATCGGTGAGTGCGCGAATACAATCCTCAGCACCCGGCTCTGATGTTAGGGCGACCAAGCCTTTTGTAAAGATCCAGATGTTGTACCACACACGTCAAGGAATATAGTATTTATGGACGATGTGACTCTGCGGATGTTGGATACTTATGTGGAATAGGTCAACGGCTGTCCTCGAACCCCGTCGATGGTCATTATATGTCCCCAGTGAGCAGTTTTCCCCCTTCACATTCAATAATATCCTGACTTGATCTAGATTGATAAATGTGGGAGTAACTGCCAACGAAAACCTCACCGTTGACCCTTACGGATGTTCACTTGGTTGGGGAAGCGAACTGTCCCAGACATAGAGGAATGAATTTTGGTAGGTTCAATTCTTACGTGGCTCGCATAGACTGATGTGACATTACTTTTGTACAGCATGTGGTTCGTTGACTCTGCTGGGAATATCTTAATGGACTGGACCTGAGACATAGTGTTCAATGAGAAACAGCGCGTCCTTGGAAGCACCAGAAAAATATGAATGTGTTCATTTTCCGCTGGAACTGCCATCTCCACCCCATTATGTGAGGAAGCCTAAAAACCGGAAAGATTCAGAGTTTTCGATGATCCTCGTCGCCTCTGAAAGCTACCTTTGTGGGTTCGTATCCCATACAATTAAAGTGCGAAATCCCTACTTTCAATCCTGATGACGTCTAATTGCGTTCAACTCCAGCCCTATCAGCAGTCAATGTCTTCCAGGCTCGTTGAAGAAATCAAGTTTTTTATTCCCTCCGGGCCGGACACCGGAATTCGCATCCTTTGTACCCCGCTTGGTCTGCGCTCTTTCATTGACCACATAGTCCTTTCCTCTCGAACGAAGCTCCTTCACTTTATATCACGAATGCCACTACTAAAGGTGTGATGGATTCACACTTTCGTTTTGCAGCATCAGCCTAATAGTGCACACTTAGGGAGGTTCAGCACGCGCTCCGACAGGGACCCGTGGAAGGCCAAACTACCTGCAAACACTCTGCACGAAGCTATCGAATAATCTCCCTCATGGAGACAACGTTATTTCTGCAGAGGCCAGCAAGTCTTTTATCGCCATCGCCCAAGGCCTTCTTCGCCACTTCGAGCAGTCTCGTAACAAAGCTTCGACTCCCGAGCTCAGAAATGTATGGACAGGCCTTGCCCCATGGTCTATGCTCATCTTCGACCACTGCATTATTTCCTGTCGAGAGGAGATCCATCTTCAGAGCTTCGAGCATGCTCCGCTCGTGTTCTACATTCTCAGCCTTCTCGAAATTCTGTCTACCGACAACCAAGTTCGTAGGGATATGGCGGGTACACCAAATTTCATTTCCAGGTTCACCAAGGCATGGATGTGTCTTTTACCGGCCAATCCTTATCGGCTACCAGCCATGACGGTCATAAAGAGATTTGTGCCGCTGAACAAAGCCACCTTCATTTCCTCCATTGATTCCTATGCGAACCAACTTCCCCTTTCAGCATTGCTTTCTCTTGAAGAGGAGTTCTCCCTGAAAGGTCGCGATACGGATTACACTCAATTGCATTGTGTCTTACATTCTGTTCACCAAATCGTCCGTGGATCTAGAAGAGAATCTGTATTCTGTACCACGCTTGCAGCCATTTGCCTGCTGAAGATCACATGCCATCTCTCTCGCAAGCGTTTCTCTCGCAAGCGCATAGCTCGCGATCTTGACAGCAAAAATAAATGCGATGGCGCTCTGCACTGTCTCGTCGAAGGATTTGCCTTCTTTGCTAGACTTGTGCAGAGAATGAGGTACACCATCATTGCTGAGGTTTTGCGCTTCGGCTTGTTGAAAGCGATCCTTCGTTCCGAGACCCTGTTCAAAGATCTTTCCGAGTTCCCCCAGGTGCAGGAGGCTCACGCAATGTGTCGCCAGAGCTGGAAGACCATTTTTACCAAACTCAAAGGGTCCATGGTATGGTCACCCGTACTGCGGCAGTTCCATTGCCAACTTTACCAAATAAGCGACGTTGACACCGCCACTTTTGAAACTGTTTCTCAGGGTCAGTGGCTACTGCTGGTCCATATCGCGGAGAGATATACCGGTCTTTATGAGCGAATGCGCGTCGAACGCGTTTGCCACTTGGTACTCTCATCGCTTACTATGTTTGGGCAGTCCATCTCATTACATTTTCTTAGTGTGGTGTGTCAGAAGGCCTCATGACTTGCTCCAAGTGCCAAGATACGTTCTATTGTTCGATCGAATGCCAGAGATCGGACTACCGCGGTGAGCACAAGGAAAAGTGCAAGAAAAATGAATGTAACTACCGTGCTACTACACGTGCCGCGATCTGAACTAACATCTATTTCCCAGGCCTCGCATCTGAAACATTCAAGGCCAAGCACTTGGCCTTCTTTACCCACGACATTGTCGCCAATGAGTCTCGGGCACGAGTGGTGGAAGTTATGATGGGTCGGTGTGAATTTGCTCGAAACGCCAGCGTCGCAGTGCGAGACGTGATCACCATCCTCGATTTTACCGATGGTCTGACAGAGCCTACGTTCTGATTGGCGCGCGCTGATGAGCAGGAGTGCGTCACTGATGGCATCGCCTTAGCGGATGTTAGAGTACTGGGCGGTGAGTATGGGCCTATCGAAGCCTTGATTAGCCTCTCGTAGTAGTTATTATACAAATGCTGGCTCTCAGAATGTCAAGTCGGACAACATTGCTTTGGTGTATATGCACATTTTATGTATCAGACCCAGTCTTATGTAATGCAGGATAGCTTGACGGAATCAAAAGAAATGTTGAGAACCTCCACACCCGTATGGACTGTTCCAGTAAGTTGTTTCAAAAACCAATCTGCTTCCCTCCATAAACCATCTGTCTACGATTCACTGGGAGATTCGAATGTAGGAGCTATCAATCCATTGAATATGACGGGGGAATGTTCAGTCCTTTCCAGCGAAGGAATTTCAGTATTTCGCCAACGGTTCTCTGCCCATTGTCATTCCCAAATGTACGGCCGAGGTGAGCGTTTGCTCTTAGATTCACTCCCTCTCCCAACTTTTCTAACTCCTCAAAAAAATCGACCAACACCAACATTGCCCTCTCATGCGATTGTACAGTAAACTGAACAAGTCTTAGCACAGGTAGCTGTCCACATTCAAAAGATACTCCGTTGAGTTGAGGAGTATCCAATGGAGCAAACATGCCATGATCTGTCCTTGACAGTTTGCACAATGTTTGGACAGCATGCTGCAGGAAAATCTCACGGAAGGAATCAACTTGGTGCGGTGCCCATCTACCAAGTAACAGAGCCCATGCCGCAACTAATCGTCTAATACTACGGCAGATTGACTTCAACTCGACAACTGAACAGAACTTGACCTACCGAAAACTGGATGCTATATGACCGGTCCTCAGCAAGTTGCATAATGATGTTAACGGAGCTTACCAATGATCGGTCTGTGCCATGCACATAGAGAACAATAACAGAGCAGCCATGTAAAGGCAAGAGCTCTTGGTGGGCATACATGAGAAACCACCGGAAGAAAGAACAATATCAGGTAAGCCAAGGTCAGATAACGCCATCTTCGGCGCAGTTGGTCGGGAACTGGCTTGCGGATAAGCCATGATCTAACGGCGGTCAGGATAAAGCTAGATGGTTATATGACTAGGGAAAGACAGTATGAAGGGACATAAATCAACGACAGGATGGTAGAAGTCGACAAAGCAAGGAGCGCCAAGATACGATGAATCGGAGGTCCAGGGACATCGAGGTCCAGTGACCGTGGAACAGGTAAGGATGAAACAATGGTGTCGGTAAGATTCGTCAACTGCAACATGACGTAGTATTCCACAAGGATTTGCTGTAACCGTTATACGGAAGATGGACCGAAGCCGAACGCGCCCTAATGTCCATTTGTATGGCATGGTATACGGCTGTTCCGTCTCCGTCAAGTGCTCTTACAGACGGCCCCGCCGTATAACGCCATAATACAGCTTGACTTTTGATCTTATCTAAAGCTTTTTTTCAAGCAAAAATTATCATGCAAAATGGCCCACCGCACAGCCATCAGCTAATTGTGGTATTGCCACGTCACTTCCATCACCTTCTCTCCTCCGCAGTTTGACTCTTCGCAGCTGTCTCATCAATTCTCATTCGCATTCAGAACAGAACGCGTAACTTTTCCTTAATTCTTGGATACCTCTAGCTTATATCAACGCAGCCCACTTGGTTGCATAGGTGCAGTTTACCCATTCTTGTGTGATCTTGGACACATCTGACTTGCAATGACTTCCCCTCTAATATTTGTTGCCCTTGGGTATAGATTATCTTATTTGTCTCTCAAGTCATCAAACTATGCTATAAATGATCTCTGGTAAGTCTATATAAGTAAATTTATTTCGTACTCAGGTGTACGGTCGTCAACGACCATAGACGGCCGTAAAGTACCTGTACCGACGCCG